TCAGGGCTTGCAAATGTTGGAGAAACATTTCAGAACTAATTGGACTTCCTGATAGATATTTTCCCTCATCTCACTTCGTTTCGATTCCTTCTTCTTTCTAGGGAAAAAAGCATATGAGGGAAAAATTAATACACCTAGGAGGATGGAGAAATATAATACAGAATGAAACCTATTATATTCCTCTACAGAAAAGCATTCCTGAGCATAAAAAACTAGGCAACATAGTTCTTTGGTGTGCAATTTCCCCCCCCGGTTGTTAGAAGAATGTTATAAATGGAGGAAAATTCAATTCTACAAATCAGGCCTCCACTCATAGTTTGAAATGTTACCAATATGGGTTATGCTTACTAATAAATGTTACTAATTACTAGGGTTACTAATTACTGTAGCTAGAACCCTAGTTTTTCTTTTTTCGCTTTAAAGGGGATGCAGGCAGAGTAGCAGGGGTTTCTACAAAGTCTGATAAAAATGTCAGGATGGCAGCCACAAGGACACAATTGAAGCTCTGTTTTTTATGTGCATTGCACATAAAAATGGGCCAGAGCTTTGATTACACCATCACGGCTGCCATACTGACTTTTGGGACCATACCCTGAGGACATCTCTGCTGAGTAGCAAGCTAAAACCACTTCTCTTCCATCCTTCTTCCTCTTCCAGGTTCTCCTTCACTTTTGTCATCTTATTCTTCACTGCTTTTTTGCCTGCATGTGGAAAGGCCACATACAAACCCCGGGCTGAAGATTTGCAACACCTCCATCTCAAATGTCATTTTTCTGTTTTTTGCATGTCTCCAGAATGAGGAAAAATTAACTTTTTTCATCAAGGGTGTCTGCGGGAAGGGTAAAAAGAAATCAGGATGGAAGCCAAGCCCAGGTGATTGAAGTCCCACCTGTTTTTTTAACATGTGGTATACATGAAAGAAAGGAGAGAAACTTTGATCACATGATTGTGGACACCAATCATTTTGCTGACTTTTTTTTGATCCTGGCGATGCCCTTTTTTTTGGCCTGCCTGCTCGTGAGAGCCTTTTGCTGTTATTTGAGTTTTCATTGGTTATAACATGAGGGGCAATTTCTGGCTGTCACAGAATTTTTCCAAAGCATGTCCACAGAAATACAACTTAAATTAAAAAAAAATTGAAATGTGAATGATAGAAAGAAGCCTGAAATTATGTAGTTTTTCTTATCTTATGAGATTTTTGTGCTCTTGGATGCATTTTCATGACATTTTAAGGGCAAATGCTGAGATCTTGCAAGGTTTTGCTCTTTGCACACAAAATCCTAGACATGAGGAAAGGTTGTTGACCCTGTCATTGAAGAATCTGAAAGTGCCTTGTCTACCTTTACTCCTACCACCCCAACTTGCATATTCTTGGTCTCTTATGTCCGCAGTCAAGATGGCTGTGATGGTGTGATTGAAGCAGATAAAAACCAGGTGATGTTTTGATCACACCGTTGTGACTACCATCTTGACCATTAGCCATTTTTGACCACACCCTGCGGACATCCCTGTTCTCTAGCTAGAGAAATTCCATCTTGTCAGATGAGTTGGCACCACTTGTCCAGAGTTTAAGGCATGAGTTTCTCCAGCCCTGCATGGCAATACCAGGAATTGAGACCTGGGTGTTGCAGGTTTTTGTGGTTTCTCAGGGTTTTGATCTAAGACACAGCACAGCAGACACCTCTTGTTTTGTTTTTTCATTTAGCAAACAAAGCAACACCAGCTTGTAGCTTTGATTCTAAGTAGCATTCCTGCCTTCTGGCACGGATCGCAGTAGCAATGAAGTGGTCAGGCCTCTGCCCGGGCATTTTAAAGTGAGTTCTTTGCTTGTAACATAAGGCTTCCTACATCTTGTGAAGTCTATGTTGTGTGTGTAGTTGAGAGTCTTGACTAAATATGCGCATTAGTACTTCTATGTTCTATTCCTACTTCCTACTTACAAGAAAGTAAGAGGTAATTGTATTAGCTGGTGGTGTTTCTCTATCCTGGCCTGAAGTGGTTTTCACATTCTTGGTAGGACATGGACTCCCCAACCCTTCCATCTTCCTCAAGAAGACCATCTGTGCAGGGTAGCCTTTTTCCACAAAGGCCTATCTTCTTCTTCTTCAGTGGTCTTTTTCACATCTTACCCATCTACTTCTGAGACTCTTGTCCCAGCCTTTCCTCATACTTATAGCCTTGTTTAGATCTACCTTGATTTGCCAGCCATTAAACCTCCATCTCTCCTCACTTCTTCCTGAAACATCTTCTGTTTTAAGTCTTTGCCTGTTTTCTTGTTCTGGCCAGCCATGGGAAAGTTATGAGAACTTGTGCTATTTCTCCTAAGTTCAGCTTCTACCTATCAGTTAAGAAGAATGTCTGATTGGGTACAGACAGGACAGGATGCTAGAGATTGTCACACTGCATTTTTATGTACAGTCAGGTACTAATCCTGCATAATGGTGGCTGATGGCAAATGTTCCTCTGCTGTTTGTAGGTATTGGCCATGGGTCTGAAATCTACTGATTCCTCAAAACGAAAATCATTATAGTACATGCCTTAGCAAGGCTCAGTTACTTTTCCAGCACTGATTTACACAATCCATGTCAACCCATGTTTAAGCTTTGTCTGAGTTTAATACCCTTCATTCTGGATCCAGATATATGGGGTGGGACAAGATGGACCCATTTCCCTTGCTTTCCTTTCAAAGTAGATTGTTGGGGGGACAAGTTGTGAATTTTAAAATAGTGTTCTTGCAATGAACTCGTAAAACCAGGGGATGACGAACAGATATTTTATTGAGATTTCCACAGACAGGAAGTGAAAATAATAAAAAAGAAAGGAGCTCCCAGTTGACAGTATTGAGGACCCAGGAAAAACTATAGTCTGCCCATCACAGAAGCCAGAGTGAGGTGTTTTGTCTTCTTAAAGCTCTTTACAGCTGTAAACATTGCAAAGAATATTCCCATCAGTGATTTTTTTTAGAAGAGATGCATTCCTTGATCAACTGGGTTAACAAAACAATAAGCTGAAATAAAGAACTGTAAATCCAGGCAGATGCCACCTCCCTAGAAATTATCCCAAGAATAATTTGTAATACGCTACAAGGGGAAATAATTAAATTCTCAGGGAATCATTATATGAACAACCATTCATTCATTTTATTTCAATTGATTTCAATTGTATGTTAAATTAACATTTTGATACTTGCCCTGGCCCCACCCACTTCATTGGTCTTGGCTCTACCAACTGTTTTGATTACTGGCCAATCTCAACCCTTATAACCTTTTGTTCCTGTTAAATAATGGCATTTAGTTTAATTTCTATTTTAATCATGGCTCTAATTGCTTGCATTCTAACTACTGGAACTGCAATGAAATATAGAATTCAATATATTTGGAATCATGAAAGAGCCCAATTTCCTAAAATAATTTGCAATTGTCCTCCCATTTTAGAAATGTCCCTATCACATAAATCTTTTAAATAATAAAATCCTCTGATTACCCAACTCAGGTACTGCTAAATTTTATCTTCATCATAGATGGCATGATGATATAAAAAGCTGAAGAGGTGATGGGTGTGAATTAATTTAAAGGTCCATCTTTTCCAAATTTTGAACATATTCAGAAGAAATTGATCCTGAATCTGTTTCAGTTCTTTAAGAATATTTTTGGCAAAAGGATTTTTTTTGCCCTAATTTTTGATAGAGGTACATTTATACATTTCATCTTTAGGTAAAGTGCTAATTCTTCTAACTTTATCAAGTTAAAAGTGTGATTGATATGGTTAGCATCACCATAAAACCTAATAGGTGGAATTCTAATTCCTCCTTCATTGGCATGGCTACTCTGTATTTCTGATTATGCATATGACATTCTCGGTTGTTTCCAAGTCCAGGTGGCCAAGGATAGCATGTTTCTGCATGTGAAAGCCCAGAGTGAATCTTTTGTTTCATTTTTTCAACATTTATTGAAACCCGAATGGGGGTGACAGAATATGTAGTGGTCCGGCACTCTTCACAGTAGTTCAGATTTTGGATCCCTCTGAGAAAGATATAAAATAGTTTTTGCTTGTTTATTTTTTTTTCCTGTGTGTGCATAGACACACACCAGTTGGGTTCACACAAGTCACTTAGTCTAGGCAAAAATTGGGGTTGGGTAGTTTGTGGTTCATTGTATTGTGGGAACTCAGCCATTGTCTGAGCCTGTTTCCATTATGGTAAACCAGATTATGGTTTACCTGTTTGGGAATAGCATGTAATATGAAGGAGCACTTGTGTTTTCTTTAACATGGTTGAGATGTTAGCATGTTAGGTGTACCCAGCCATACTCTCTTTCTAGTTTCCCACCTACCTGAGAATTAAAAAAAGGGAATGTTCTCAGAATTAGTTTTCTCTGCAGTCATCAAGGAAACAAATGTGACTATTTGTGTGTTTGACCTGAAACAACAACAACAAAACCTCAATTGATTATTTCAGTTACAGCTTTCAAATCTTTAGCGTACAGTTCTCCATTTTTGGGACAAGAGATTGTTGACAAATGTCCCAACTCCACTCAATCAGATGTAATCCATTTAAACATTACTAATTAACTGCTGTAAAGAAACAAGGTTTTATGTGATGGATATTCTCTAAAGAGAACAAGCCACACACATGAGTTCTTCTAAGATGTTTTTCTGACTTCTCAGTCTAGCCTATACTCCTAGAATTCTTTGGTGGTCTCCCATCCACGTATTAATGAAGTCTGACCTTGCTGAACTTTTTTGAAATCTGCCAATCAGTCTCCATTAACTAACATCTCTCAGTTTCAATGAAGGTGACCTGATTCACCTATTGTGCTAAGTCAAGAGTTGTTTAAACATGGCTGATTGAATCAACCCCTATTGGCTGGGTTCACACAACTTGCTAAGTCCCAAACCACAGTTTGACCAACCATAATGGCTGGATTTGAAGAATAACCCCAAATTAAATAAATCATGTTATGGCGTAAGTCAAAGGAGGGGAACCTATAATTTCAGACTGAAGATTCCTCTCCATCTCTCTGATTCTTTGAAATTTATCAGGAAGTATAACCTCTGCAGATGCCTACAGGGAGAAAGGGGATGGGTTTTTGGAATTTCATTGCTGAGTCAGGCTTTTAGACTTCCCCAGTTATTTAAGGATGGAGCAAATTCACCAAACCTGTGAACTGGTTGAGTGTGAGAGGTGGATTAGAAGTCCTCCAGCTCATTCTTGTACAAACTGAATAATTTACAGCTGAATAGTCAGGTGTGGAATTTGGGGTAGGGCAATGTTCTTTGGAATGCACTAGCAAGAGGGCCAGGAGTCCTCAGGAGTTAAAAGACTCTTTTGCTAAAGAAGGGAGCTTGAGCCTTACTTGCATTCCACAATATGCTGGAGGTGCATTCAGATGACAGCACTTGGAAACATAACTAGTCCTCTGTTCAACCACAGCAGACAGATGATCCTCAGTATCCAAAGTACCGGGGGGAAGCAGCCTACTGGCGTTTGCTTTTAGTCTGCAATTCAATATAGCTACATGTTAGCAACCCCTTTTTAAGGCAAGAAAACAGGGTTCCCCCCGAAATTACACAGACCTGATTTTTGCATATATTCATGCACAAGAAAATATAGCATCTGTATTTTCAAGCCAGTTAGGTCTACATACACATCAGTGTTATGGATAAACAACTTTTTTCAAGGCAGGATTTGTAATTTTCAGTCTCTGAGAGCCACTATGTATGTGGGTGAGCAGATGCAGAGACACCTGGTCATTTTTTGCCCCTTTTCCTTTTCACGGGTTGAGCCCCAAGTTACAAAAAATGAGTGTATAGTCAATGAACCTGAAGTTTGCTGCATCTGTTTTGCTGCTTAAATTGTAAAGCAAGAAAGAGAAAGAGGCACCAACCAAAATCACATTTGTGCAAGCACAGGCAAATGATGCAATCATCAGAGGGCTTGGGTATTTACAGGAGTTTGCTGCCTTCATCTGTAAGTTCTGCCCCTTTTGTACATGTCCAAGACCTCATGGCGTACATACAAAAGAGGTAAAGCTTGAAGCACAGGATTTCAACACACCTTTTATTATTCTGCTCCCTTGCCTACTCTGTGGAGGCTACCACCCTGGAGGATGAAAAACAGGGCTGGAGACATTGCACACAGGTTGCAATGTGCCCCGCACCTCACAGCTGTCAATAAAATCTGGGAGATTTGCTCACCTTAAGTAAAGCAGAAGATAGCTCCTCCTTCTTCAATCAGGTTCCCTTCAACTTTATTAGGCTATAACTCTATGATTGTCATGGTCCAGGACTCAGACTCTGAAGAAGCTGCTCCAGCTGAACCAGTGGAATGTCAGCCTCAGGAGACACCAAGGCAGGAATCACCTGAGGCTGATCAAACCCTGGCACCATCAGGACAGCTGGAGCAGTCAGATGATGAGGTATGGCCTCCAAGCCCTCAGACGCGGAGAGTAGAGTGGAGCAAAGAGGCTCAGTGGGGCTCCTTGCCAAGCAAGGGAGAAACTCTCTTAATTAAAGACAGCTGGTTGTAGCATGATTTAAGAGGCATTCCTGACCCTTGTTTCTCTGTGGGAAACAAACTGTCTTGCCTCAGGTTGCAAACTCACCTAGCAAATGTTTGTCTGAGTTTGCAACCTGAAATGGGACTATGATGGCTAAGAATGATTAAAGTGGTATTCCAACCTACCCAGAGGGCACCAAGTTGAGGCAGGTGGAGACTGGACAGTGAGACCAAGAGAAAATATGGACACATTTTTATTTTGACACAAATAAGTCCAAGTTTCTGTAACTGGCATTTTTCAGAGGAATTCCTGTGTCTCTACAGGGACCTTATAACTAGTGAAACACAGTGAAAGATTCTGTTTGAAAAGCAAACAAGCAAGAAAGCAATTCATATTTCATTAATCAGAGCGGTAACCATGCAGATTTTTTGGAAGGGACAGCTGTAGCATACCACTTGATTAATCAAACATGTCTTTTCTGATTGAAAGAAATCATCCCATCTATTTCAGACAATTCATTTGAGAAAATGATTATTGGTCAGGAAGCCATACTCAAAAGCCTGTTAGAATACACAGTTCCATGCAACTATGGATAAACTGGAGCATTTACCTCTTGAGGAATTCCACGAAAGTATGATCTGAATATTCTGCACAAAGCTCATTTCCTTTTGCAATCAAAGGTTGTAGTGGGGCGATCGTTTGCGAGTTCTAGAATTCAGAAGAAAGTATCATGCTGCATTCATGAAGAACATTTCCCTGTTTAAAAAAATACTCCAGCAAAGTTTTCCCAATAAGCAAGCATTACTTTTTCTAGCAGAAGTCGTGAATTCTGGGGAAGGAACTGAGGAAGTGCTGTAGGTATGAAGGGTTGAGGACATCATTATGAGTTACTCCAAAAAGAAGGCAACAAAGATTGATGGAATATTTATTTGGGCAACTGCCCTGTCATCCTCTCCCACTTACCGGATCATTTGGACATGATCAGATCAATATCCAAATAAATTCACCAGAGAAATGTATATCAGGTCTGGTCTGATTCCAGTTGTTGATTTGATTTAGATAAAAAGAGTGTCTGTGCCTGGGCATGTATCAATATATTGAACTGGAATGTCTCTCTCTCTGTGTATTCCTAATCTACAGACTATGGGTGTTGCAGAATTCAAAACAGTTTTCAAAATACCTCCCAACCCATATTAAAACATCAAAATTCATGAACTAGATGGTTGCCCACAAGTTCTTTTTATGGGCCAAAGGCCTGTTGAAAAAGCACAGTTTTAGCATCTTCCAAAATATCAGAGACCAGGGTGGGGACAGATCATCATAGAGAAGATCTATCTATGTGTTCACTAAGAGTCAACACAAGCTTGATAGCACCTAATCAATCAATCAATTAATCAATCAAAAGGAAGGGTGGAGGCCAAGCACACTTCTGGGGACATGCATTCCATCATGCAAAGAAGGCCTGCCTTTTGGCCCATATCTCCCTTATTTCTCATGGGAGCAGGACCCTCAGTAGACCCGTTCTAGATGGCTGAACCAGATGTGCAGAATGATCCTTGGTTAGATGGCCCAGTGATATTCTGGTACCATCTGGTGTGAATCAACTAGAATTGATCTGACGTTGCCTGTGGCTATGGGTATCTATACAAATGAATCAAAAGACACAAGGAATCTTTTGTGTGATGGCATCATGATGCACTCAATGTTATTTTGACATCACTGTGGCATTCTTGAGATGTTCCTACCCATGTGTCAAACTGAAAGATATAGTTCTTCACACTCTTAAAGGAAAGCTCTATAAAAGGGGACTTGGTCTGATCTCTTGTTCCTCCCTTTATGTTTGGATGCTCACATATTTAGGCTGACGTTAACCCATATGAATGGGGGTAGTATATTTAACTCTGAAAGAGAGAACCAAAGATGACTGGCAACCTTGCAGAGTCACAGGGGAAGAGACACCCACTGCCACAATTTGCATTAGATAAATAGATGCATGTTAAAGAAGAAGGGCTCTAATTTAAATGGAAATACAAAGCATCTCTCATGATAATAGGAAAGACTCCAATGCTTATATATCTTAAATATATATAAAGTTGCTGTGGAAGGGCAACTTCATATTTCTTTCTCTCCTTTCTTCCTTTTACTTTCCTAATTAAAATATTTTTTAAGCTGGGCTAGAACTGATCAAGTGCTCAGAAAGTTGATCCTATGAAGTAGAAGTTTCCCCCCTGTAAAAGTCTAAGGCAGTGTTTCTCAACCTTGGTGACTTTAAGATGTATGGACTTCAACTCCCAGAATTCTGGGAGTTGAAGTCCACAGATCTTAAAGTCACCAAGGTTGAGAAACACTGCTCTGAGGATACCAGAAGTGGGAACAAAATATGTCCTGCTTCCCTGCAGGTAACGTCTCACTCATGGGTGGCCATAGGATGGGCAAATTCCATCATCTCAGAACATTCTAAGATTTTACCTTCTCTGCAAAACAGCTGTGGGGGTCAGCCTGGCCACAGCAATCACTGGCAGCAGCTTGGCTGGCATCATACAAGGTAATGAGAAGAGCCTCTGGAGCACGGGTATACTGCCGAGCGATGTCAGAAATATAACTGCAAAAGAAAAAAAGATATTGCAGAAATTGTGGGCCCATTGCAGCCTTAGACTGTACAACCTCAACAGCAACATACATCAGCAAGAAGAATGTGGTGGATGTGTGTCCACCTGCCATTTTTGACCATTTCTGACCATATGTGGCAATCCTTCATGAGCAGATGTAGAATTCCCCAGCTACCTCTTACAGACTACAGTGGCCAGGGGTGTCTGCAGTCAAGATGACAACCACCCTCTTGAATTTTATTTTTATTTTACCATACCCTATAGATTTCCCTCACCATGGTCAATGATAATGGATGAGAAACATCATTAGAACGCACACATTTAAAACTGGCCTCTTTATTTTGATAAAAGACAGAAGGACAGGCAAAGCAGCCTGCCTTCTCATCTAAACCGAATCCTGTCTGAAATGGTCTGTGGGAATGACCTTGGGAGACAGAAGGAAGAGCTGCAACCTAGACAATGGTCTGATAAATGAAATTTGAGTCCAAAGGAGGAAGGGTGGAGAAAGCATCTCAGAAGGGACCCTCCCTAGTTTTTGGAAGAGTAAAAGGGAAGGAAAGGAAGGCTACCTTCAGACTTGCAAGATTCTGTTAACATAACCTTACAATAAAGATGGAGCTGGTACTCATGGTTGTGCTTCTTCTCTGGACTACCTTGCAAGGCTAACACCGTCTCTGGGATTTTATTTCTATGGATTCATTTTCCCCAAAATGTTGGTCTTTTTGATCAAATGAATTATTGAAAACTATTGATCATTTTGGATAACTCTCCCCTTATGAGACCAGGGTGATATAGTGATGGGTGTTGGACTATGAGCTGGGTTCTAGTCCAGTCTCAGCAATGGCCACTTTCTGAGTGACCTTGGACCAATCACTCTCTTTCATTCTAACATACTTCACGCAACTGCCGTTGGAGAAAGATGGGAAGAAGCAGCACTATATACGCTACCTTGAGCTCCTGAAGGAAAGGCGGGGTATAAATCTAAGAAATAAATAAATCTCTGGGACCTAGGGCAATTGACCTTCTTCCTCAAAGCCCTATTAAATTATCAGTAAACACTGCGTGCAAATCCTGTCTCTAAAGAAGAAGAAAAGGGGTTCCAAATCCACTTACTGATATATGTCTTCTTCACCACCTGCTCTGCAGATGCCTTCATCAATCAAACTGGGAGTCTGAGGGACTTCGGGATGTTTGTCCCATGGGAGTGAGTAAATACATAAGTATTTTCCTATGTCATCTTTAGAAGTGCAACAGTTTTTAATCCTTTCATTCCGGGCACAGACCGTATTGCAGATGTTGGCGATGTGAATCTTGACCTGGAAGAAAAGAAGCCACTGTCTTTGCAACATAACCAAGGCAGACAGACTGGATTGATAGAGCTGCACTTGACTGAACTGCACAAGACTTCCTTAGAAAGGACATCAACTTTTTCCTTGTTGTTTTTAAATAAAGATGTATATGTGGGATTTATTCACTATATGTTCTGGAGGGATTTGGAGCTGGGGCTGGCAGGACAGTGAAGAAGCTTCATGTTTCCACTCACCATGAAACTTCGGCTTTTCCTCTTGTGGGGTTCAAAACTTAGCTCAATGTGAATTTTGAATTCAGCAGAGAGAAGGATGGCAAAGGGTGATGCAGGAGTTTAGGAACAGTGAAAGAGGAAAAGCCTATCCCCGTGAGAAGTGGCTTAGCTTAAAAGAGGCACCGTGTGTCGCACAGGCAGTATAATTCTCATGGTGGCAAAGAGGTGGCATGTTTCTCCTCATTGAGGTAAAGAAGCAGTTTGGTTTTTCTTGGCTGAGGAGAAAGGTGATCCAGTTCTCCTCAGTGAGGCCCCTTGCACTGTTTTAAAGCCTTAGCTGGCTTTCTAATAGCAATGTTGGCTATGAGGAATGCTGGGGGAGGCCTCAGAGGAGAGGTGAATTGAAGGAGTAAAGCAGGTCTCTTTGCCTACTTATTCAGCTCTGTCAGTGAAAACAGATTGCTGTTTTTATTAGGTTGAATGAAAATAATCATGATTCTACCTTTTTCCTCCCAAAGATGAAGAGCATAGGGTATCCCTCTCAGCAGTCAGAGACAGGATACGAAAGGCTTTGCAGGCACAAGTGACAAGCAGTGGGCACGTGTGGACCCATGGGTCCAATATTGCTGGCCCTGTACTGGGCAAAATTCCTCTTAAGCCTTCAGATGAAAATGGAAGCACTAGCAGTCCAGACTCATCAATATTTCTTTTCAGAATTCCCCAGCTGGTCACATGATGATTGCAATTCCATACACACTTATTGGAAAAGTGTGCAAGGAAGTGAGACTTACTTCCAGATATTTATGAATAGTTTAGGCACGGCAAATGAACCACATAGGATGACCATTGCTTGATCAGTGGTTAGAGAACATCGTACATTACAAGGTCTTTCAGTATGAGTAGAGAATTCTGCCACCAGAATTACTTCTCCCCTTCATCACTGGGCCACTGGAAGTAAAGTCCAGCAAGAGCTGCATTGTCTAGTCCTACTCACCTCATTCTGGATACAGTTTTCTTCCAAACTAGAACAGCACTTGGAAAGAATTTCAGATGCTTCTTCGGCAAGGGCTATGGCATTCGCAAAGGGCAGCCTTGGGCTTTGCTGGGTAAATTTGATTAAGTAGCTAGAGCACGAGGGAGATAAGAAAGTGAGAATTTAGCCAACCAAGAGTTGAATTAGCCGCTCAAAAATGTTTGGCTTTTCTAAGCATTTTTCATGCTGTGGGACTTAGATGTATACATTTGTAATTCTCTTTATTGTTGTTGTTATTTAATTGATATAACATTTAGATTGCTAGGTGATGAATTGGAGATCAACACCGAGAAAAGAAACGCAAGTAATCCTTGAATCCTAGCAGACGATGGGCCTAGTTGAAATTTGGAGAGTGTGTGGTAGGCACTCAGACAAAATGTCTGCCATGAATATGGAATTTCCCTTTCCCAGAATGACTGCTTTGGTTGGTGTGGCCCCTAACCAAACACTCCTTCACCCTTGTGGTTGCTTCCCTGCGATCCCCTTTGTAGCTTTCCTTACTAACTCAATTTCGCCTTGTTTTTTGGGACAAGTAACCACGTTTCCAAGCAAAGCATTGGATTGCAGCTCTACAGAATATTGTTCCTTTTTAAAAAATTAAAAGAATCTTAAAACAATGTCTGGTGGGACAGGGGACTTAAATTGCCATGAAGAGAGGTCTGTGGGCTCCCTGGTATCTGTGGGCATGACAATGTTTACCCATGCCCTATCTTTGTGCAATTCAATCTACAGAGGAAAAGATACTAGTTCTCTTGGCTGATTCTAAGGGTACTTTCTTATGGAATCTGTGCATGCTCCAGAATCAGCTCCAGACCTGTATGATTTCATGCCATTACATGTTTCTGACTTAGAGGCAGGTTATCTGAAATCTTGCTAAAGGCCGTTTTCCAATTGAAGTGTACTTTGCAGAGCTGGGCACTCTTGTTTCACTGTAACTCCTATTTCTCTCCTTATAGTGATGCTGAGATGCTATTACTTCACAGATCTTTTAAATGTAGCAGAGGGCTTTGACAGCTTTGCAGCTCCCTCCCATTGCAATTGCTCAGATTTTTTTTTTTTTTTTTGCAAGTTACCAGACAAA